CTAGTGCGAAGCGCCGCAGCAGCAAGGGCAAGGGTGGCAGGGGTGGTGGAGGGGGCAGCGGGGGTGGTGGTGGGGGCAGCAGTGGAGGTAGCGGAGGAAGTGGAGGTGGTGGCAGCGGTGGGAGTGGTGGAGGGAGTGGGGGCGTTGGTGGCGGCGGAGAAGGCAGCGGTGGGAGTGGCAGTAGTGGCAGCGGTGGCAGTGGTGGCGATAGGACTGGAGCGCAGCGTGGAGGTACTAGAGGAGGCCAAAGGCAGCGGCAGCAGCGTCGAAGCGAGTCCCCATCGCCCCAGCAGCTTCGTGAGTGGTTGTTTCAGCGTGGGGCGTCTGGGGGTAGTGTGAGCTCCCCGTATGTCATTCGCACGGGTGACCGTGCTGGTCAGACATGCGGGAAGGCACACACACAGCACCGCTGCTTCTCCCGTCTCGACGATGCGTGGCGTGCTGAGTTTGGTGATGAGGTCGAGCGCCCCCACTGGGCAGAGTTGCTTAGGTCTGGTGTTGCGATCTTTGATCTAGACTATGATGCTATTCTCTCTGATATGTATGCTTTGTCTGCTAGTGCTGAGGGTGATTGTTACCGGTGTGTGCCGCCTGACCCAGGTATAGAGGCTGCTGCTCTAGGTGATGGTGAGTCTTCTCTCCCTGGTACTGCGCCTGCTGAGGCCTTGCACACCTTCAATCTGGACTCAGGTGCCTCACGCTGTTTCTTTCGAGACAGCACCACCCTCACTCCTCTCCCTCACTGAGGCCTGGGGGGTTATGGGCGCACTGGCCCGCTACTTAACAAGCCCTTTAATCCCAATGGTCTGACAAGCTCGAGCCTTCTCGAAGATCGACCTTCGAGGGGGTTACCATCATATCCAAGTCAACCCCCCCAACTGCCCAAAAATCGACTTCCGCACCTGCTACAGATCTTTTGAATACACAGTGATGCCTTTTGGACTTACCAGCGTCCCCGCCACTTTCCAAAAGACCATGAACGAAGCATTCCACCCAACATGGCGCACTTGACTGCCCCGTTGACCGACCTGCTGAGGAAGGGGGTTGAGTATACATTGGGGGAGAAAGAGCAAGCTGCCTTCTCGGCCCAAAAAAAAAAAAATGCTCACCGCCGGTGCTTCACATTGCTTATCTACAACGCCCGTTCGAACTCGTCATCGACGCAAGCGACATCACTGGAGGAGCAGAACTGTTGCAGGACTTCGAAACGGCCTCCTGCCAATGGCGATAGTGCACGTGTTCAAGGTGTGGCGGTGCTACCTGACAAAAGCCGACGTGACAGTACGGACAGATCATCGTGCACTACAGTACCTACGCGCCCAGCCGAATCTCAAGCCGTGACAAATACTGTGGTTGGACTGTCTGGATTCCAACTTTCACTAAACCGTCACGTACAAAAAGCGAGCACCAAATATCACCGACGCCCTCACTCGGCCTACTCCACAACTTCACGCCATCCTACTCACCCAAACCAACTCACTATTAATAGGCCTATTCACCCATGGATACCGCACCGACCCAATTTTTACCATTGGGAATTTGCAGCAGTTGACAGAAGCAAAAGAACTCCATTACATTAAAACCGGTACCAACCGCATCAGGGTACCTGCGTATTCACTGCTACAGGAATCACTACTACAGGAGGCACATGACGAGGTTACCTCGGGTCACTTTGGAGTAGAGAAAACGCGACAGCAACTGCAGCTGTACTATTACTAGCCGGAGATGTTGACCGACGTAAACACCAGGTGGGATCGTGCCCCACGTGTCATGATGAAAAGCTCGCGCAAGAAAAAGGCGGGTCGGTTGCAGCCGATTCCACTACACGAGTGTGCCTGGCAGCATGTTTCTATGGATTTCGTCGTGGGGTTACCTTCTAGCCCTAGTGGTAATGACGCGGTTATGGTTGTCATTGACCGGCTAACAAAGATGGCTTACTTCGCTGCGTGCAGGAAATCGATCTCAGCCAAAGAAACCGCTCGCCTGTTCATCGCAACCGTCATTCGATTGCACGGGATACCAGCCGCGATTATCAGCGACCGCGACACGAAGTTTACAAGTAACTTCTGGAGGAACCTTTGGGAGCAGTTCGGGACCCGGCTACAGTTCAGCTCGTCGTACCACCCCGAGACTGACGGTCGGATGGAGCAGACGAACCAGACCATGGAGCAGCAGTTGCCGCTGATCGAGTTCGCCTACAACAACACCACGTCAGCGACGACCGAACAGTCACCGTTTTACCTTAACTATGGGAAAGACCCTACGGTGCCCATTTATCAGCATAAGTATTCGCTCATGCCTTCTCTCATTCTTCGTACTTGTTTGACACCTTAGTGCAATACGCGCTACCTCATTCCATTGCACATGTAAAATTTACATACCCAACAATCAAAACTGCAGAACTACTCATCGGTTTCTCAAGACGCGTCACCTCTCTGTTAAATCTCAGGATCGGGGAAGGATTGGAGGCTAACACTGGTGTTTGCACGATCGAGGTTAACACCGGTGTTGCATATTTGTAGTCACAAAGCTGTACCGAGCCAGAGGTTACAAGATCGAAGATTTATGGGGCAAAATTGCACAATCAGCACAACTACACAATCTATGTTTGAGGTGTGGAACATCGATAGTGCGAGCAAGAGGTTACAACATCTTGCTGACCAGTTTACTGTACGCTTGTGAATTTGTGCGAATTGAGGAAACCCTGCTCTTGACTATGTCGCCAAAACACTGTACAATCTAAACACCTATCCTGTTGGAGAAGCAAGTTTCTGCCGCCCCAGACCTTTGCACACAAGGAGCAGTTCGGAATCACTTTCAGCCGAACTGTTAACACTTTCTACAGGTTTCTACAATCCTGAATCAGCTATATAAGAGAATTCCAGAGCCTTCTTATTCATGCACCTCATGTGGCTCTCAAAGTCACTCAAGGTCCATGGAAGCAGAATTGTGCCCAAGTTCCCAAGGGAGCTGCTTTGTCTAGTAGCCTAATCTTTGAGCTACCTATCTGCCTTTGTTTTGTGATGCTTAAAGAGTTGTGCTTTAGTGGGCTTGTGTGCGGATTGGTTACCCTATTTACTGATGTGTGACCATGCTACAGTAAGGTTTTTTTCAACATTTTGTGCACAGTAAGTGAGTGCGACTGATCATTGATCGGTGTAGAATTCCCGAGGCATCAATCCGCAGATGATGTGCACGAACCGAGCACAACAGGCACGATTAATGCTGATGCCCGCGAAGTGCAGAGATTTCGCAGAGCGGGTAAACAGAGACGCGCATATTTTGGCATGTAGCGGGATTTCAGGATGGTTGCCCTGTTGGCTGCGAATGTCGCAGGTGTTGTTGGGCGAAGGGGGTTTTCCTAGATGGTGTCGCAGGCAAAACCGAAATCTTGATTCTGGAACATCCAACCCATCACGCAGGGGCGATCGTTACAACCACGTGGGCGTGTCGTTTCGCCAATCGATCCGCCCAATCGAATCTGCGGATCGATATACATGCACGATCATGCGATATTCTCACCTTTACCGTGTCCTCAGAGAGGTGATGCGTCCCCAACACTCCGACTAGGCCCAGTCCGAGGACCTCCCATTTGAGGGGGACTGTACATGCCATACCGTGGGCAGGTACAAGTCGGGTCCACACCTGGTCCATGGCTGGTCCACAGCTGGGACGCACTGGGCCTCGCTGGGCCGGGCTGGGCTGCTACTGACCAGCTGCATTCTGACGCCAAAGTAACACCCCGTGAGGGCCTCACGAAGCCGCCCCTGTCAGTGATGAGGTTCTGACTCGCTGACCAAGCAACTTCTCAACAATGTTTGCATTTTGTTGTTGCCACTTTTTCTCGCATAGAGGACTCTGCTACGGTCACGGGAGGTGTTTTAGGGGCATTTGCCGTCAGGGCACTTTGCCGAAAACGCCATATTCCCAAGCGTTCATTTCTGCCCGTTACGATAATGCGCCCCTCCGACAGGGCCTCAGCCGAACAGCGCCGATTACTGTACACCAAATGGGAAACACCCACACCAGCCCATTTGATCATCAAATGGGAAACACCCACACCAGCCCATTTGTTCATCAAATGGGAAACACCGCACCAGCCCTCTGCTGTTCACATTTCCAGTTCAGCTGCCGCGCACGCCAGCCTTAGGGCGGGTCCAACTTTGTACATGTTCGTTTTATTTTCAGCTCACTTTTAGGCATGTAACAGAATTATAATCGTACAGTATCCATCTGACACGAGACTGTACATAAATCATACAACTTGGAACTGTGCCTCGGGACGTGCGGAATACATCCAAAGGATCACCGTCAATTCGTCTCCCACTTCATTTCGTCAATGTGGCAGGGGGGGCAGCGGGGACAGGAGGGGCTGGATGCTAGGGAAGAGGAGAGGGGACAGCAGCAACAACGGCAGCACCAGTAACGGCAGCTGCGGCGGCAGCAGCAGCAGCTTGGCCAGCAGGGGCAGGAGGGGCAGGCTCATAGGGTAGAGGAGAGGGGACAGCAGGGACAGCAGGGGCAGGAGGGGCTGGCTATTGGGGGAGAGGATAGGGGGCATCTGCTAGGCCAACAGGGGCTGCAGGGGCAGGCTCATAGGGGAGAGGAGAGGGGACAGCAAGGACAGCAGCATGAGGGTCTGCAGGGGCAACAGCAGGAGGGTCAGCAGGGGCAGCAGCAAGAGGGTCAGCTAGGGAAGCAGCAAGATGGTCAGTGGGGGCAGGCTAACAGGTGAGAGGAGAGGGGACAGCGGCAGCAGCAGCAGGGCCAGCAGGGGCAGCAGCAGCAGGTTTGTTGGGGAGAGGAGCGAGGACAGCAGGGGCAGCAACAGGAGGGGCAGCAGGGGCAGCAGCAGGAGGGTCAGCAAAGGCAGCAGCAGGAGGGTCAGCTGGGGCAGCAGCATGAGGGACAGCAGGGGCAGGCTAGCAGGTGGGAGGAGAGGGGACAGCAGCAACAGCGACAGCAGCAAGAGGGCCAGCAGGGGCATGAGGGGAGACCAGTGGGGGAGAGGAGAGAGGACAGCAAGGTCAGCAGCAGGAGGGTCGGCAGGGGCAGCAGCAGGAGGGTCAACAGGGGCGGCAAAAGGAGGGTCAGTGGGGGCAGATCAGTGGGGGAGAGGAGGGGGGACAGCAGCAACAGCAGCGAGACCAGCAGGTGCAGGAGGGGCGGGCTGGTAGGGGAGAGGAGGGAGGAGAGCACAGGCAGCATCAGGAGGTTCGGCAGGGGCAGGAGAGGCCAGCAAATATGGGAGAGGGGAGGGGACACCAGGGGCAGCAGCAGGATAGCCAGCAGGGGCAGGTGGGGCTTCGGGTGCAGGGCACACCGTCGTCGGGTACGGGCTGGGTCGGAGAGAGGGGGCGAGAGGAGGTAGTTGGGGACACGACTGCGGGAATGGAGGGTTTAGAAGGGGAGGACATGGAGGGGGGGGGTAGGGCTAGGGTGCTGGGGGGTTTGGGGTTGGGGAGAGGGGATAGGAGGAGGCAGGTGGGTGGGAAAGAGGATAGAGGGGCAGAGACGACAAGGGAGGAGGCACAGAGGGACCAGGCACAGCAGCAGTCAGTGCAGCAGCAAAGGCAGGCCGGACGCATAGGCCGCATGGGGACACCAGCCCGCATTCCAGACCTGACTTGCCTGGATATAGAAAAAACCCTTATGGTGTTGGTGGACGTCTCTATCGCAGACCCACGGCAACAGGGGAACGCCGGGCTTAGACGGGTGACCCCAGTGCAGATAGGTGTTGCATCAGCTAGACGAGTACAGGACAAGTTACGGGAGTGGGAATTGCGCCTAGAGGGATTACAACCACCCCCACATTTTTATGCGTGTGTAGCGGAGACGTTTGGGTTGCTCAGCGAGCCGATGAGACGGTTTCTTGGGCTTTGTGCGCGACGGATAGCACAGCGGTGGAAGGACTTGGGGGGGGGGGATGACGGGTCAGCACGGATTTTTGAGACCGGCCTTACTACACGCCTCTCCGTGGCACTGCAGCAAGTGCAGGCTCAGAGTATTATACAGCACGCGGTTTGGCAGCTTTTCTCTACCTACTCAATAGCATTCATGAGCAGCAGTTGAAGTCTCTCCTACCCTGCTCTACTAAGGCAAATAGTGCAGAGGAAGCATGGAGCCGACTGAAGACCATGCACCAGTCAAAATCAGAGAGCAGCCAAGCCGAAATGCGGAGCCGCTTCATGAATCTGAAGATGGAAGAAGATGAGTCCGCGCAAGCCTACCTTCAACGAGCTGAAACGATGTTGGAGGAAGCAGCAGCAATTCACTCGGAGATCCCAGAGTCACTGTTTAAGAAAGGCATTCTCACCGGCCTTACACCGGAGTTGGAAACTTTCCGTGCAACCCTCCAAGCGCTCCCGCAATCAATGAAGACTCGTGCGTTCATCTTCGAGGCCCTTATCAACAAGCAGCAAAGTCGAGACCTTGCACGGAACAAGCGGGGTGACGATTGTGCGTGGAGTGCTGCAGCAGCTACAAGATATAGCAACCTCACCCCAGAGGCAACTACAGAAGCTCACCATCATCCAATGCAGCAGCAACCGACAGCTACAAGACCTCAAGTTCCTAGGAACAAGCCAACCGTCACCGCAACACCTCGTTCTCATACCACACGTTTGTCACTTCAGGTTCCAACGTCAAGCCAGCTCATAGCACGAGGATCACTTCAGCGAGTCACCACCAACACCAGCTCCAACAGCCCACTTCTTCACCCAAGACCTTTCTCAACTTCACCCCCACGTCCCGGAATCGGCCGTCATCGGTTACCGCCATCTTCTACACCAAGAAACAACACCAATCAGCCCCATTCATCACCACCTCTCGACAACGCAGCGTCATCATCAATTCCTAAGCTTCTAGTCTCAAGATCCCCACCAAGAGCATTATCATAACCAACTATGCCGACGAGAATTTCAGCTTCACCTCCACGAGTCACCACACCTATTCCTCAAGTTGACACTAATAATCGAGAAAGTTCCACGCCGGGAGAAGATCATGCAGCCGTGCCGCCGTCCCAGCCGATGTCGCAGCCGTTGTCTCAGCCGCAAATGACCGTATCAACACATCCAAACACTGTGAGACCGAACCCTACCACTGATGTGTCTCACCCAAGTGAGGAATATGGTAAAGTTAAACAAGTCCGCAAGGTAAAAAAGCCCTTCACATTCATGGTTGACATGTCATCAAGGTGCACATGTGAGGAGAGCGAGAATTGCATTCACAAGAAGGTAGAAGCAATATGCATGGCAGCGTCACACCTTCCATGAGAGCCATTGAGTCGTCGTGAGGCAGTGGCAAGTCCCGAGAGAGAGCATTGGTTGAAGGCCGAGGAAGAAGAGATTGAGAGTCTCATGAATGAGGTACATGGTGTCTTGTTGAGCCACCTCCAGGGAAGAAGGTAATCGGTGTCAAATGGGTGTACAAGATTAAGGTAAAAGGTGATGGTAGCCTTGATAGGTACAAGGCAAGGTTAGTGGCAAAAGGTTATTCCCAAATTCCAGGTCTTGACTTCACCGAAACCTTTGCCGCGGTAGCAAAGTACACCACGGTACGAGTTCTCCTCGCCATAACCGCATATCTTGGTCTCCATATCCATCAAATGGATGTCAAGAATGCATTTCTCAACGGTGTCTTGGAATAAGAGGTATACATGGCACAACCCGAAGGTTATGATGATGGTACGGGTCAAGTTTGTTGCTTGGTAAAGTCACTTTATGGTCTCAAACAGTCCCCACGGATGTGGTATCATGCTCTTGAGAAGGTACTCTTCAAGCACAGTTTCACAAGGTCCATGAGAGACAACGCTTTGTACTTCATGCACACGAGTGAGGGGGAGTACATTTGGCTCTTGGTATATGTCGATGACCTCCTCCTGGTCTCAGGTTCTCTTGATCTCCTCAACAAGGTGAAAGGTATTCTTATGAGTGCATTCACAATGACCGATCTTGGTTAGCCGAGTCATTATCTTGGTATGAACATTGTGAGAGATCATAAGTCAAGGTCCATCTTCGTATTCCAACAAAGGTACATCCAAAATGTCCTTGAGAGGTTTGGTCTTGATGATAGCAAGCCATCACATACCCCGCTTCTTTCCAACTTTGTCCCTTTATCTTCACGTCAGCCCTACGGGGAGAGAGAGTCAAGCCTTGACATCACGGGTATTGAGGAGTTGTGTCTTGAGGAGAGTGAGCATCATGGTGAGAATTCAGCCAAGGTATCCCCACAAGACCTAGCTGTCTACCAAAGTCGGGTTGGGTGTCTCATGTATGCAGCCCTATGCACAAGGCCTGACTTAGCCTTCACGGTATCCAAGCTGGCTCAACACATGATTGCCCCATCACCCATCCGTATGCATGCGGCCAAGCGAGCTCTTCGGTATCTCAAAGTTACTTCTAATCTTGGTCTTCTCTTCCAAGCCAGCCCACATGCAAGCTCCCTCCAATGCTTTACCGATGCAGATTGGGCGGGAGAATTGAGCACGCGGAAGTCCACCGGCGGCTACATCTTCCTCATGTGCGGTGCCGCTGTTTCTTGGCAATCACGCAAGCAAAGTTGTGTGGCGCTTTCTACAACCGAAGCTGAGTACATGGCAATGACCGAAGGAGCAAGGGAGGCAATCTGGTTACGTGAACTCTTGGAGGACTTGAGGCAGCCGCAAACTCAACCAACTCCGCTCTACGTGGACAACACTTCAGCCATCGCTCTTTCCAAGAACCCGGTTCATCATGGCCGTACAAAACACATCGAGGTGCAATACCATTTTATCCGTGAGCAGCTAGAAAAGAGAGTTCTTGCCGTCAACTTTTGTCGTTCGTTCGATCAAGCGGCAGATTTCATGACCAAGGTTCTTCCACATGATGCATTCAACATGTGCAAGGCAAGAGCAGGCCTCATGGCACTTCATGAAGCAGTGCAGCAATTTGAGGAGTATGAGGAGAAGAGACATGGGCAGCAGCATGGAGTGTATGATAAGGAGATGTGAGAGGAGCATAAGCATGGGTATATGTGTGCTTCGGGTCTGGTGCGAGGGGGGGTGTTGGAGAAGCGAGTTTCTGCAGCCCCAGCCCTTTGCACACAAGGAGCAGCAAGGGGGAATGTTAGCGACGGAGTCAAGGCTTCGCGAAATATTTAGAAACTTCCGCAACCAATCAGATTTCAGCCAAAGTCCCTTTACAGTTTGGAGTCACTTTCAGCCGAAGTGTTAACGCTTTCTACAGGTTTCTACAATACAGAATCAACTGTATCAGAGAATTCCAGAGCCTTCTTATTCATGCACCTCATGTGGCTCTCAAAGTCACTCAAGGTCCATAGAAGCAGAATTGTGCCCAAGTTCCCAAGGGAGTTGCTTTGTCTATAGCCCAGTTTTGAGCTACCTATCTGCCTTTGTTTTGTGATGCTTAAAGAGTTGTGCTTTAGTGGGCTTGTATAATCTTGACCATAGTGAAGTTTTTTCTCTTATCACCCTGTTTTCAAGTGGACCCGCCCTAAGCCTGATTACGATCATCATACAGTGCTGTAGGGGCGTGTAACCTTTTTCCGATTATGGGAAATGACGCGTTCGAAACTCACGTTTAAATGACAGGGCGTTTGGACCAGAGCTGTAGCTTTTTTTTCAAATTTGAAATTCAGGCGAAGCGTAACACACATTACAGCCAGCGTGATTTCGCCATGAGCGATCGTATGCCAATGACAGCGAAGATAGAACAATCGGTTCGGTGGGCTGTTCGAACGGTGTCAGCTCGGTTTCCCCGACCATGTTTGACAGAAAAGTGTCAGCTTCTGTCCGGACGCATGCGTCGTCGCTTGGAGTCTTACGAAAACCATCACGAAGATGCAAGAGATATGTAACCCTACTAAAGTCCGGACGAACCATCATCCGGACGGTTGCTGTGGGAAAAACTTAGCACGCCCTAAACCCTTCAAACCTCCAAAATCTACCAGCTCACCCCTCCTCCCAGATTAGCCATATTCTCTGTTGTTGAATGAATGATAATTAAAGCCGGCGGCCCAAATTGTTCATGCTTTTAAAAGTTGACCAGAGGGAGTTTTTCTGGTGTGGGCTTTGGCGAGAGTTTCCGATTTCGTCTAGGTTCGTTTTTTTCGCGAGACCCAGCCAACCCTCGGTTTTCCCCCTGGTGAGTGAATCTGTCTTCGAAAGTCCCAAATTGCAAGTGCGTGACTTTCAAAAGCTTGGACACTCAACTTCGTCAAACTTGACCCTCGCGGCCCGCAATTTGGATCATAATACAATCCTAATCCTTCCTCACGCGGCCTATGGCTGTCCAGGGTGGCATTCGTCCGCAACAAGAATTGCCAGAGGGCTGTGTTGTGTATGCACTGCACGGTCGCAGCAATGCATGTTTCCTCATTGAGAGAGATGTGATATACGATCAATCCCTCTATCTACTCCACCTGCATCATACATCGTCTGACATTGCCGCGCTTCGTTCCGAGATGTGAAGCACACTTCCGCTTGCCGCGCGTAGCCATCCATGATAACCATCGCGCTGCTCCCTGGTCCTCGGAAGGTAGTGTTAGTAGGGTGGAGGCGATAAACCCAACGAAAGATACTGCCTCTGCGGCTGAGTGCGATAATGAGAGTTTCTCGAGAGTTGGCGGCGGTGGCGGTGTGGATGGGGCTTGCGGGCGTGCTGGCGGGGCTGGTGGCGTGGAGGGTGCAGAAGGGCTTCGACGACAATCGCAAGGCGGAGCTCGACACCTGGTGCGCCGGTCGCGCGCGCTCGCTGCAGCAGCAGTTCATGCTCACCGCCGACCACGTGCAGGTATAGACGCGCCGCGTGCAGGTAGACGCGCCGACATTGTGCAGGTTGACGCGCCGACACGTGCAGGTAGACGCGCCGACGCGTGCAGGTAGACGCGCCGACACGTGCAGGCAGACGCGCCGACACGTGCAGGCAGACGCGCCGACACGTGCAAGTAGACGCGCCGACACGTGCGCCGGTATCATTAGCCGAGAGCCAGGCGACGCCACATCGTGCAGGTTAGGAATCAAAGTTGTCGAATTAATTATATATTCACATTCCAGAATCGTGCAGGTTCCAAAACGATTATCGCCTAGTGGGCGATACGAGCTCTGTAGGTGAAGCGTATGGTTTAAGTTCCGCATTCAGGTCCCGCGTTCCGGATGGCGACAGCGTGCACGTAGAGCGGACGCAGTTGCTGGATAGCAGAAACGCCGCGAATTGGTGTGACAGAACAACAGCCGACCACGCGGCAGCAACATTCTCTCACAACCCGGGGGTTTTACTTCGCATGTACCGGCAAGGGCTCCCCGAATCAGGGTACTCACCGGGGCGGCGGTGCGAGGAGCTTGTAGTCAAGGGTGAAAAAGGTTGACTTTGCAACGAGATGACGTCCATGGTGACGTCACAAGTGGCACGTGCGTGGATGACTCGTGGGGCATAGCTGCATGCATAATTTTGTTGTTAGTAGTTGGAGCCTGTAGCAGCAGCTGTGGCACATGCATTTGCAGCAAATGCATTCGCAGCACATGCATTCGCAGCACATGCATTCACATCACCGTGTGACGTACACACACCCATGATGCCCATCGCTGCACGCTCCAACCCCTCACCTCATGCATGGATGGCACTGGAGGCGCGCGCCAAGAGTTCTGAGATGGGTGTGGTGCCGCCAGTGGTGCCGCCAGTGGTGCCGCCAGTGGTGCCGCCAGTGGTGCCACCAGTGGTGCCGCCAGTAGTGCCGCCAATAGTGCCGCCAGTAGTGAAGCGCCACGCCCACCCAGTGCGGCTGCCGCTGCACCCCTCTGTGCCCATCCAAATGTGGCCCCACCCGTCTTTCATCCTCCCATCTCCACATACCTGGCTTTCCCTCACCTACCTCCCCGCATATATCTTCCTGTCTTCTCTCTCCTACCTCCCCCACCAATCTCCCCTCACCCATCTTCCCCCCACCTATCTCCCCCACCCCAACCGTCTTCCCCCCACCTATCCCCTCCACGTCTTCCCCACACCTATTTTTTTCTTTTATCACCCCCAGGTCATTCTTCTCCCGGTTTATCTCCCCCCACTCTTTTCCTCCCACCTATTCCCCCCAACCCTACGCACCTATCTTCACCCATCTCTCCCGCCATCTGTCGTCCATCTATCTGCTGCCTCCCACCCCCATGGTCCACCCACCCCCATCATCCTCCCATCCCCATCAAACACCCAACCCCATGATCCATGCGCATGCTCCTCTGCACTCACACGTGCACGCATCAGGCGCTGGCAGGGCTGTTGACAGTGTTTGGGGGAGTGCGGGAGAACCCGTGGGGCGTGGCGGGGTGCATGAGCCAGCAGCGGTACGCGCAGTACGTGCACGCCACTGTGGCCGCATGGTTTTGGGTGCATGCTGTCATCTACCTCCTCCTCCTCAACCATTCCGACAGGTTTGCACTGCCGTGCTCCCCACTCCATTTTCCACCCTCGCTTCTTTGAGGCCAAGCACACACTCATCCCTTTTCCCCCCCTCAACACACACACACCCTAAAAGCATTCTGCTGGTCAGTGTGTGCTTGAACCCTATCAAAGCCAAGCATCCATGTCATTCGCACGTGCTGCTGTCCCTGTGTGCTGTCCCTGTGTGCTGTCCCTGTGTGCTGTCTTGCATGCCGCCTGTGCGTGCGGTGCGGTGCTGCAGGGCGGAGTACGAGAGGCAGATGCGGTGCGGAGTGGTGGACTTCATGGACCACGCGCGCCCCCCAGCGGACTGGTACATGCCCATGCGCTACTGGTACAGCGAGATCCCCCTCGCCACCGTGCTCGCCGGCACGCCCTGCAAGGACGCGCGCACCAACCCCTCCTTCGGCCCGCAGCTGGGCGGCATGGTGGAGCGCGCGGACCGGTGGCTCACCACGCCCTACGTGCTCGACAATGGCAATGCTGGCATCGGTGGGTGCTGTCCCTGGCTGGCACACGCATGGGTGGCTGGGGCAATGGGGGCAGCAGCATGGGTGGGTGGGGACAGGCGCCGTGGGTTATGCAAGTGGGAGTGGGAGGGCTGTGATGGCCGTATGAGAGACAGGAAAAGGCGATTGGAGCGGCATTGCTCATGTTCAAGTGCAGCAAGGGCTATCAGGCATGTCGAAAGTAGAGAAATCCATGCATGCCTGGGCGTGTGCATGCCTGGGCGCATGCATGCTGTTCCACGCCATTGCCCTCTTCTGTCCCTCACAGCCTCCCTCCCTCTTTCCCTCTGCCCGCGCCTCTGCACTGTGCAATGTCGCCGCACGTGCACCACCCATGCAGGCATGACGTTTCCGCTCTTCCGGGTGGGCGTGTCGACGGGGTCGCCCCTGGCAGAGCGGCAGGGCACGTTGATCGGAGCCATGGGGGCGTCGGTGGACTTGAAGCGCCTTGCCAGCGCCATCATCCTCGATGTGCTGCAGGGTACGTCTCGTCTCGTCTCGTCTCGTCTGCACGGTGGGCTGGGAGGAGCATTGCTGTCAAGTTCTTTTGTGTGCCCGCAAATAAGCCTGCTGCTTTATGCTCTCATGCTGCCATGCTCTCATGCTGCCATGCTCTCATGCTCTGACCACCAGTGCTGGACGTCATGAACGGATGGATTCACGAACGCCAATTTGTGGATTCATTTAAAGCAAACGACTAGTACTGCCCCTGCTGTTGTTGCTTGTCAGCGATGCAACGACTTCCCATCGTGCTCGTTGCCAACGAAAGGGCGTTCTCTCTCTCACGCATTCTGACCTCCCCTTCCAACGCCCACGCCGCCACCAGACGTGAACTACACGCTTGAGATCTACGACATCACAGACACCTTGGCATCGCCCCCATCAGGCCAGCGCCTGCTGTACGGCGTGGGCGACTTGCCTCAGGGCGACCCCAAGCAGGAGTCCAAGGTCATTCCGCCCTCCACCGCCGCCATGCTGCAGCCACACCGCCACAAGGCCGTGCACCCACTCAACCTCACCGACCCCTCTCGCTCCTTCCAAGCCTGGTGCCGGTATTCCCCTCCTCTTGTCTCCTCCTCTTGTCGCCTCACCGTATTCCCCTCTCCCTTTATATCCTCTTGTTCCCTCCCCTCGTGCCCTCCCCTTCTCTTCTCCTCAGCACTGGTAATGGTTCGCCAGTTGTTGTGCCTGATTGGGCTTCGCATGATCTGCCCCCATCTGCATTCTCGTAAGGCTGGGTCAACTGTCCGCATTGCCCTCACAAGAACTCTTCCTCTATGAATAGCTAGCATGTCAGCAAATCTTCTCACTTCCTTTTCCACTCACATTCTTTTTCTCTCCCTCTGTCTGTCGGTTCTTCCCCCGGCAACCGCCCCCACTCTGCCCTCCAACCCCCCGTGGCTTTTCTCCCCTCTCGCCCTCATTCCCCCCTGCCAGCTTTGCAGGGTCAGACGAAGCACGCAGTTGGGTGGCGGTCGTGCTGGGCGTGGTGATAGTGGTGGTGGCGGCGCTGCTGGCAGGCATTGCAGTGAGCGTGGTGCGCAACACGCGGAGGGCGAGGAGGAAGACGGCGGTGGTGGAGGGCTTGAAGGAGAGCACGCAGCGCAAGGAGCACAACAAGAGCGCCTTCATTGCCACCACCTCGCACGAGCTGCGCACACCAATCATCGGAATGAAAGGTATGCTTCAATGGGGCTGTTGTTTCTGGCTAGCAGGCAGGCATCATGGTCAAGGGCCCCCGATGGGCTGGCTTAGGGTGGTTGGTTGGCCGGACCTGGTTCGACTCGGTGGTTGGTTGGCCGGACCTGGTTCGACTCGGTGGTTGGTTGGCCGGACCTGGTTCGACTCGGTGGTTGGTTGGCCGGACCTGGTTCGACTTTGTGTCGAGTCGAGCCGATGTCGCGCGGAGCCCGAGACGACACTCAGATTTCAGTGTCGACCTGACCATGGCTCGTGAGCAGTGGTGCATTCCCACTCGCACCTGTAACAGCGTGGCTGTCACAAAAAATCAAAGCATCAAGCAACGTGCATGGATGTTTCTGCTTGCTGCTTGCTGCTGGCTGTTCGGTGCAGGCATGTTGGAGCAGCTGGTGGAGGGGCACATGGAGTGCGAGATGGAGGAGGACGTGTGGACAGCGCTGGAGGAGGCGGAGCGGGTGCTGCGGCTGATCAACACGGTGCTGGACATCTCCAAGGTGGAGGCGGGGCACATGCAGCTCGAGCGACTGCCGTTTGACCCGCGTGCCTGGCTGCTGGCCGCCCTGCAGCAGCACGGGGCCAGAGCTGCTGAAGCCGGGCTGCAGTGTGAGTGGGGCCCATGGGGCAAGCCAAGCTGCACGCATGCATGCATGCATGCATGCACACATTCACATGCTCACGAGCACATGCATCCACCCACGTACTTGAAGGCACGTACTTGAAGGCACGTACTTGAAGGCATGCGCACGCACCTAACCTCCATTTCCTGCTCCGTCCTCACTTCCTACAATACCACGTGCCCAATTCCTGTTCTGTGCCTGTACCTCCTGCTGTGCCCCACGCACAGTCACGTGGCATGTGGATGTGAGTGTGCCGGACGTGCTAGTGGGGGACCACATGCGCCTGCAGCAAGTGATCGACAGCATTGTTGGTGAGCCACGTGGGTGGCAGCATTGGTACGCACTCCGACACCAAGTCGGTCCATTGACTCGATTGACTGGATTGACTGGATTGACTCGATTGACTCGATTGACTCGAATGACATGCATGCTGTGGTGTGGCAGTGCAGACGGGGACAAATGGACTTCGCACCTTTTTCATCCCTCTGTGTGTCGCTCCCTCCAGACAACGCCATCAAGTTCACGAGCAGTGGAGGCATGTGTGTGAGGCTGCAGTGCCTTCCCCCCGACACCCACACCCCCACCCACCTGCTCTCCCTCGGCTGCCTCCTCGCTGAAACCACCCCCTGCTGCCCCCCTGCCGCTGCTCCCAGTGCTGCTAGTGCCACCAGTACTGCCACCTCCGGTGCTGAGACAGGGACTAGCAATGGTGCAGGGGGTGCGGCTGTGATGCCTTGCTTTGGGCAGCACATGGGGCAGCGGTGGCTTGCACAGGCAGGGGTGAGGCAATGTTGTGGGTGCTTGGAGGAGTGCATGGGGTTGGAAAAGAGAGGTGCAGCGGTGCAGGGGTGGTGCAGGCAGGGAGATAGGGAGGGAGAGAGCCGTGGCAGGGAGGGCAGGGATTGTGCAGGGGCGGATGCCGTGGCGGCTGCTCAGGATGGTTGCGAGGCAGGGTGGGCAGGAGTGGTGGGCGGTGGGGAGGGTGGCGGGGAGGGTGGCGGGGAGGGCGGTGAGGAGGGAGGTGGGGAGGGCGGTGGGGAGGGCGGTGGGGAGGGCGGTGGGGAGGGCGGTGGGGAGGGCGGTGGGGGGGACGCATGGGTGGGTGCAGTGAGGCGGTGGTGGGGCAGGGCTGGCATGCCGGGATGGAGAGGCCCTGCACGTGAGGGGCATTGTCAAGGGCGGGTGGTGGTGCTGGTGACGTGCGAGGACACGGGGTGTGGCATCGCAGAGGAGGAGCAGCCTGATGTGTTCCAGGCCTTCATGCAGGTGAGCCTGGAGCATGTGTGTTGTGGCACTAACGAGGGGTGTAGCCGCCTTAGTATAGTGAGTTGAGTATGTCACCAGGGGTGCCCGTATTCCGCCTGCCGCTGCAACTGTGGGGCACGAATCTTGTGCTTTTACACCACGGACTGGTCTACCGTGCTGTCAGAAGTCGATTATTCTCCTTCAGGAACCCCAAGAGCACACCTCACTGACGATGTGCGCGTGTGTTGTTCCAACACCCGCTCCCACCAGGCGCATCACAAGAGGCACTTGCACGGCGGAAGTGGCCTGAGTCTCCACATATCCAAACAGCTGGTGCGTGCCTTACATGCTGCTCCTCTGCTGCATGTCGCTCTTTCGTAAAGGACAAGGAAATCAATCCCATGTCGTGTACCCTGTTTTTCACACAGAAGCAGAGTACAATTGGATTGCTAGGTGAAGGTGGAAAAGGAAGACAAAGAGAACCTAAGAAAATCATGAGGGAGAGCTGTAATCCCAGAATACACTCTACACTTCAGTGATGCTGAAACTGTACCCCAACAAAAACCCCTATAGTGGCACAATGTGGAAGTAACCATTGTCTAGCAGGGTTGGCAGTGCATTGGTGTCAAGTGCGCCACCCACCCACCTCTCATCTCGCTGCCTGCAGGTGTCTCTGATGGGCGGCAGCATGGGTCTGCTCAGCACAGAGGGCCTCGGCACCACCCTGCACGTCGCTCTCCCCATCGCTGCTCTTCCCGCCGCTGCTGCTGCTTCTGCCCGTGCTGCCAGCACGAGCACACGAGCTCCCAGTGCTGCCCTTGCTGCTCTCTTCACAGCCAGCAGCACCAGGCGACTGGTGGGGTGGTGCGAGCAGGTGGCAGCAGGGAGGAGAAGTGAAGGGACAAGGCGCAGAGGGAGTGGGACGGAGGTGCAGGTGGCAGGTGTGAAGGCTGGAGGACTCACAAGGCACACTCGGGCGATAGCAGCGCAGGGTGGGGTCCACGTGCAGGAGGATGGGGTGGGGGCGAAGTGGGTGAGCGGCACGGCGCAGAGTGCCAAGGAGGCACTTAAGGAGATGCTACAGGGCATGGCAATCCTGGTGAGATGCGAGAAAGGGTCATGATGGTAAGGAAGGACAGTTGGATGTGCATGTGAGAGCCTTTTTTTTCCAACCTCGCTCCATCCTCTTCAGTTTCCCAACCCCCCGTGCATGCACCCCTCCCCACCGCCTTGCCCTGGTGATGTGGCAAACCTCATGCCGCTTCTCACCATTTGGGCGCCTCGTTCACCCATGTGCTGCACCGCACCATGCTGCACCGCAACGTGCTGCACCGCGCCGTGTTGCGCCTCGTACTTTCTATCACATTTTCTCTCTCCCTCTTCCTTGTATCCCCTTCGCTCTCCCTCTCTGTGCTCACTCAGCTGTTGGACGACCATATGGTAACCGCATGCCACCTCCATCCATGCGTTCTCATCCATCCCCTTATCCTCTCTCCCTCCTACCCCTGTCCTTCTCCCATGCCCTGTGGTGGGCTAGGTGGTGGATAACAATGCCATCAACCGTTCTCATCCTCTCTGCACCTCTCTTCATGCCTGGCCAGGTGGCGGACGACAAAGCCATCAACTGCCCCTCTGTCTCACCCCTCTCCACCCTCCTCTACCCCCTGTTCTCCACCAGGTGGTGGACGACAACACCATTTCCGTCCCTCCATGCTCATCCCCTCTCTCTCCTCCTTCCCTCTACCCTCTGTGCTCCACTAGGTGATGGGCGACAACGCCATCAACCATCCCGCCAGTCTCATCCGCTGCACCCCACCTACATACCCCTTTCTCTAATCTCCCAGGTGGTGGGCGACAACGCCATCAACCGTCCCTGCGTTCTCATGCCCTCTGCACTCCCCCTGTACTCGCCGTGAGTGGCTGCACCAGGTGGTGGACGACAACGTGATCAACCGGCGGGTGGCAGCGAGCACGCTGGCGCGGTACGGGGCGGAGGTGGCGCTGGCAGAGTCGGGCGAGGCGGCGCTGCGCCTGCTGCAGGCGCGCCACTCCTTCCGCCTCGTGCTCATGGACCTCCACATGCCCGGCCTCGACGGGTGCGTGCACTTGTGTGCTCATGGACTTCCACATGCCCGGCCTCGACGGGTGCGTGTGCATGTGCGTGTGTGGGTGCATGTGTGCATGTGTGCATGTGTGCTCATGGACCTCCACATGCCCGCCCTTGATGGGTGTGTGCGTCCATGTGTGTCTGTGCATGTTGCCGGTCATCTCCATGACTGCCACAGCACAAAGGGCTCTCATCTCGCCATCCTCTTCACTCATTCGCAGCCCCCAACCTCTCCCACCTTCCCATCCCTCGCATCCTCCACATGAGCACCATGCAGGTACGAGACTGTCACTCGGCTGCGTGGCATGGAGCGGGAGTCAGGGGGTGGGGGGACAGGGGGCGAGCGGCATGTGAGGGTGGTGGCCATGTCAGCAGACGTTGACAGTGCTGTGGCAGCACGTGCTGCTCTCGCGGGCATGGATGGGGCTGTGCAAAAACCACTCGATGAAAACCAACTCCTGTCCATTATGAGAACGCTTCAAATGAAATGCAACTCTTCTTAGGGCATGTTCCTACGGCCCCTTATCAGGCCAACCTCTTATCAGGCTCGCTTCACAACACACTGAAATTTCCCTAAACCCGAAAACCTTCACGAAATTTACCAGGCAAAAATGCGAAGCTGATACGAGTTGTCCCTGATAAGGGGCCGTAGGAACATGCCCTTAATTGCTCTTATTATGAACATACAACAAATATTTTAACCACTAAAAACCCCCAGATGCACCACCACCACCAGCCATAATTGCATATAGGGGACTTTTATTATGCTGGTCTGATCCACCTGCATGTAATGTAACACAATCGTCAGGCGTGAACCACCCCTCTAAAGGATGGCCAAGTTTCATGCACGTAACTTTCCTTCATGTACAACTTTCCTTCCCTTCAGAGTCCCTGCCTCCAGCCCCACTCCCTCATGCCTCAACAATCAATCATCTGTTTGTGTGTAACTTTTGGCAGGCGAAACGGCTCAATGCGCGATTGACCATTTCAGTGCCCCTTCCACCTCTCTCCTCCCCTCCCCTGTGAGCCTCAAAACAGCTGCGGCACGTGGGTCTGGTCCGACACGGGTGGGCGCACATGAAAGTCCTGCTGCAGCGGCGGCAGAGCCACACTGTGGGGCAGCGGCAGGTCCTCATAGGGGATATGCGCCAGCAGGTGCGCCAACACATTCAGCCGCGCCCGCCTCTCATCGTCCGCAGGCACCACGAACCACGGCGCCTGCTTGACATCGCAGAACCCAAACATGACGTCCTTGGCGTGTGAGTACTCTGCCCACCACGCCCGCGCCTCCACGTCCACCGCACTCACCCTCCACCGCTGCTCCGGCCGCGCCAGCCGCTCGCGAAACCGCCGCTCCTGCTCCTCAGGGTTTAACTGACACCTAGTACTTAACGAGGATGATGCCGGAGCGAACCAGCATGCGCTCAAACTCGGGGCACGGGCGCAGGAAGTCGTGGTATTCAGTGTCAGAGCAGAGTCCCTTCACGTGCTCCTCGCCTGCATGTGCATACCAGCTGTGGCCCAGCAGCACCATCTCGCCGGCAGCCGGCAGGTGAGCGACGAAGCGCTGGAAGTACCACTGCGTGCGCTCGCGGTCGGAAGGGACGCCCAGCGCCGTGACGCTGCACATGCGCGGGTTGAGCGGCCCAGCGATGGCGCCCATGAGGTCGCCCTTGGCTGCTTCGTCGCGCCCCTCGAAGAGCACCACCACGCGCAGCCCCTGGCGGGAAATCCACTCCTGCAGCTTCACCATCTCGCCCTGGCACGGAAGGGGAAGGATTGGAGGGGGGAAAATGGGGAAGAGGAGGTGTGAGGACAGGGCAGACGAGGAGGAAGGGGGCAGGGCTGGACAGGGCAGGAGTGGAGTGGTGTGCTTTGGGGGATGGGCAGATTCGTTGCCGGAGTAAACGCTGAAGAGACAGAATATGACGTTCTGGGTATGCGGTCCTGGTTCGGACTATGAGGTCCGGAATATGAAGTCCGGGATATGAGGTCCGGGATCCAAGCAGCGCGTGAGAGTGTACATGAAGAAATGGAAGGCAAACGCAACAGGGGAGATTAGCAAAGAAGATTAGCGGGTCAGATCAGCGGGTCAGATCAGCGGGTCAGATCAGCGGGTCAGATCAGCGGGTCAGATCAGCGGGTCAGATCAGTGGGTCAGATCAGCAGGGCAGATCGGAGGGGCAAGGTGGGATCAACACCTTGAAGCGCAGTCCCGCTGCATGGCTTACAGCGCACCCGCCATCGTACCATCATGCCGCTATTCCCCGCCTCTCATTCCCCGCCACGCCTGTTCGACCCTCCAAGCGCCGCCCATGTGCGCGCGTCGTCTCACCTGCAATCGCTCAAGCTCCTCGTCGTGGTCGTACTCGCCCCTCCTCGCCAAAGGCCAAAGAAAATGGGGGGCTCTGGCATGGCAAATGGCGATCTCCATGACCAAGCTAATGCAACACTCAGCAACCCCATTCTACTGAGGCGGGGCCGGTAGCCTGTAGGTCTGGCGGATGCCCTTCGTACGACAGAACTTCTCAAGCCAACAGGAGCCGAACTTGCCACCACGGTCAGAGTGCATGCAAAGCACAGGCTGGGTGTGCTAGGCGTGGATGGCAACTAGCCACAAGAGGAGCACGTCAGGCATGTCGGCTTTACGTGACAAGGGAAACACCATGGTGTAACGAGAGTAGTCGTCCATAACTACCAGGAAGTAGCGCTCCTAGTATGGCCCAAAGATAGGGGTTGGGCCCAAAAAATCCATATGCAAAGTCTAAAGGGGAGCAGTTGTACGGGGAAGTGCAGTGGCGCTGCGTGCAACAACCGGTCCCAAGGAGGGATCGGCCAAGGCGACTGCGACTGGAGCCGGAAGCGGAGAGATGGTGGTGCTGTCGCCGAAGAAGCACTATGACGCACCGGAGTCAAGCGTGAAGGAGGGTAACGCGTCACCGGTCGTCATACTTGGGCTAGCAACATCCCAAGATCCTACACAAGAAACAAGTATATATTGTAGCCTAAGCACACAATAATACATGACATGAGAGGGGAAGAATACAAAGTAGCATCTACATCGGTCATATCTATAGTAAACAGCTAGTGGCCCTAGCGGAGCAGTGAAGCCCATTCAGGGGCGGGTGCACTGAGGTCGAAACGCTGGCGGTAGATATAGGTGAGGCGGCCAAAGCACTGATCAGTAGGGTGAGGACGCGCGGAGATGAAACCGGGGTGCAGACCGGTTAGGAGCACATACTGGCAGGGTCGGCCAGGAGTACCGCGCGACAGTTAGCTGGCAGGCCCACCACCACGACCAGTGCTCCCATGGCCGACAGCATTGCAACTGCAGGTGACTGTATGCGCACCTACTTCGCAGGTGCAGGTAGACGGTTGGGCACGTCATGCAGCGTCACACACGTTGCGCATGTGCCAAGTCGGCCACGTGCCGACAGTTGCACCAGATGTGACACGTCGACCTCGTGCAACGAGCATGCAGGTTGGCTTCACCAAAACCTCCTGGGCGACGTTCCCGCACCCCCACGGAAATGTGCCGTTCTGGTTACTTGGCCGACTGGAAAAGCCTCGGAGTCGGCGCCGACTTCGATGTAGATCGCCATGTCGGCGGTCACCAAGGTCGACTGCCGAGATCCGTTGTTCATAGACTTCATCGACATCGTAGAGGTCGACTTCGTCATGGCCGGCTTCACTGTTGTCGGCTTCATTGAAGTCCGCTCCGCTTAAGTCGGCTCCGCCGATGTCGGCTAATTAGACCAGCAGACTTGCTCATCCAAGATGGCGCCATCCAAGAAGCTCGACCGGCTGCACACCATGCACGGTCGATGACGAAGTCGGCTTCGCCATTCGCTGAAGCCGGCTTCGCAGAGGTCAAATTCACCAAAGTCGATCAACCGCGGAAGTCGGCTCCGCCGAGGTCGACCAACCAAGCCAACTTGCTCTCCAAGTTAGCTTCGACCACGAAGCCTAGCCGACCGCGAAGTCGGCTTTGCCCAAGCGAGGGCAAGGCCTTTTCTCGTCAACTGGGAGGGGCCCGCGTGGACGTCCTACAACACATTGGGAGGGGGGCGCAGGGCGCGTCCTCAGGCGCAACAGGAGGGGCCTGCATGGACCGTCCTAAGGCAACAGGTGGGGCGACGGGCTACGGGCGACGCGACGGGGCGGCCTAGGTCGGGCGCGACGGGTGAGCTAGGTCGGGCGCGACGAGCGAGCTAGGGGAAATAGGTGGGCCAGGGAAAATGTGCATGCTTGGGGAGATGGGCGAGCTAACCTAGCGCTGATACTATGTCAAAGAGATAATTGAATAGTGATGGCAAGAATGACAGCATATAGTGATAGATTTATGCAACCCTAGTACGTCCAACCTAGCCTAATAAAGTGTAAACATGCAAACCATGAGTGTACTTTGACACTTTTCTGGCTATTCAATAGATCCCTTTCGACAGGCACATGGTTTTTGCTCTCCAATTCTCACAGTATCTATCCAAGATGCCCTTACACGGAACTTGATACGATGCCTCACATCTTATTCAATTGCGGACACACCCATGAAGTCGGACGGGCACAACAACGAGTTGCAATAACGCACATATTGACAGCTATGGTGGCTGACATTGTCTTATTTCCCCTCTTTTTTTTCCGTCAGGCATAATCACGCCGTATTCACTACTCGTGGGATTAACTGCCAATGCCCTTTAGAGAGAAATATGTGTCAGAATATATTTGATGTCTAGCCTGCAGTGGGGTACTCTGTAGTGAGTACAACCCAATTTAGGGTCTTGTATTTGTATCCCAACTCTTGCTAGTGAATCACCTCATTCCTCTCGACATTCTCCTTTCCAATTCTCTCGACACTAAACTCTCTCGATACTCCAACCTAGCCATGGTTCCTAAGTCACGCTAGTATTCTCACATGGTATTAAGAGCATAACTTTCCTAGGACCTAATGTTAATGGGCCCACCACCTACTGCCCTGCTAGCCTAGGCCCCGGCCCGTCGCCCCTTGGCGTCGCCCCTAGCCCCTAGGCTCGGCCCCTTGGCCCCGTCGCCTCGGCCCCTTGGCCCCGTCGACTCCGTCGGCCCGCGCCCGACCCGTACTTAGCCCGCGATCGGCCCGTACCTAGCCCGCGATTGGCCCGTACCTAGCCCGCGCTCGGCCCCGTTCCTAGCCCCGCGATCGGCGCCAGTACCTAGCCCGCGATCGGCCCGTACCTAGCCTCGCGCCCGGCCCGTACCTAGCCCGCGCTCGGCCCCGATCCTAGGCCCGCGCCTGGCCCCGTACCTAGCCCGCGATCGGCCCGTACCTAGCCTCGCGCCCGGCCTCCGTTCTGCGCCCAACGCCCGGCCCCGTACCTCGCACGCGCCTGGCCCAGTACCTAGCCCGCGCCCGGCCCGTACCAAGCCCGCGCCTGGCCCCGTCCTTCGCCCAGCGCCCGGCCCCGTCTCTTGCCCGCGCTCGGCCCAGTACCTAGCCCGCGCCCGGCCCCGTACCTAGCCCCGCGCCCAGCCCCATTCCGCGCCCAGCGCCCGGCCCCGTACCTGCCCAGCGCCCGGTCCCGTACCTGCCCAGCGCCCGACCCCGTACCAGCCCAGCGCCCGACCCCGTACCAGCCCAGCGCCCGGCCCCGTACCTGCCCAGCGCCCGGCCCTGTACCTGCCCAGCGCCCGGCCCTGTACCTGCCCAGCGCCCGGCCCCGTACCTGCCCAGCGCCCGGCCCCGTACCTGCCCAGCGCCCGGCCCCGTACCTGCCCAGCGCCCGGCCCCGTACCTGCCCAGCGTCCAGCCCAGTTCCTGCCCAACGCCTGGCCCCGTACCTACCCAGCGCCCGGCCCCGTACCTGCCCAGCGCCCGGCCCCGTTCCTGCCCAGCGCCCAGCCCCGTACCTGCCCAGCGCCCGGCCCCGTCCCTAGCCATGGCCCCGTCGCCTCTTGCCATGGCCCTGTCGCCCCTGGCCATGGCCCCTCGCGACCTGCCGCCCCTAACCGCGGCCCCGGTGCCCTGTTGCAACATGGTGGGTGAGGGGGTGGAAAGAGGGGGTTCTTCCTGCCCACGTGCCCTACAGTCGCACGCGCAGCTCCGCCCCCGCCCCCCTCCCCCCCCTACCCCCCCTCCATGGGGATGGCGGGGAGAGGGGGGGGGAGCTTGGAGGTTCAGGGGGAGGCAGGAGGGGATCTGCAGCACCAGGTCCCCCACCCTTCTCCTACCTCCCCCTGCTGCGCGTGCAGCAGAGGGGGGGAGGGGATCTGCAACACCGACCCCCCCCCCCCCCCCCCCCCCCCCCCCCCTCATCCTTCTCCTACCTCCCCCTGCTGCGGGTGCAGCAGTGGGGGGGAAGGGATCTGCCATCCCCCTGCTGCGGATGCGGCAGTGGGGGGAGGGGACCTGCAGCACCTGCCCCCCCTGCCCCCCCCCCCTTCTCCTCCATCTCTCTGCTGCTGGTGCAGCAGTGGGGGAGGGTATGGGGGTGGCGGGTGTGGCCAACCTGCTGTCGCCCGAGCGGCTCCTGCACCGCCCCTTCTCCTACCTCCCCCTGATGCGGGTGCAGCGGTGGTGGGGAGGGGATCTGCAACACCGACCCCCACCCCCCCCCCCCCCCCCCCCCTCATCCTTCTCCTACCTCCCCCTGCTGCGGGTGCAGCAGTGGGGGGGAAGGGATCTGCCATCCCCCTGCTGCGGATGCGGCAGTGGGGGGAGGGGACCTGCAGCACCTGCCCCCCCTGCCCCCCCCCCTTCTCCTCCATCTCTCTGCTGCTGGTGCAGCAGTGGGGGAGGGTATGGGGGTGGCGGGTGTGGCCAACCTGCTGTCGCCCGAGCGGCTCCTGCACCGCCCCTTCTCCTACCTCCCCCTGCTGCGGGTGCAGCGGTGGTGGGGAGGGGATCTGCAACACCGACCCCCACCCCCCCCCCCCCCCCCCCCCTCATCCTTCTCCTACCTCCCCCTGCTGCGGGTGCAGCAGTGGGGGGGAAGGGATCTGCCATCCCCCTGCTGCGGATGTGGCAGTGGGGGGAGGGGACCTGCAGCACCTGCCCCCCCTGCCCCCCCCCCTTCTCCTCCATCTCTCTGCTGCTGGTGCAGCAGTGGGGGAGGGTATGGGGGTGGCGGGTGTGGCCAACCTGCTGTCGCCCGAGCGGCTCCTGCACCGCCCCTTCTCCTACCTCCCCCTGCTGCGGGTGCAGCGGTGGGGGGGAGGGGATCTGCAGCACCAGCCCCCCCCCCCCCCCCCCCCTCCCTTCTCCTACCTCCCCCTGCTGCGGGTGCAGCAGTGGGGGGGAGGGGATCTGCAGCACCAGCCCCCCCCCGCCCCCCCCCCTCCCCCTTCTCCTCCATCCCCTGCTGCAGGTGCAGCAGTGGGGGGAGGGTATGGGGGTGGCGGGTGTGGGTGCAACTGCGGGGTGGCGGGTATGGGGGTGGCGGGTGTGTGAACCGTCCCCTCCTCCTCCTCCACCTTCGTCTCCCACTGCTGCAGCTGCCGCTGAGGGGGGTGGGTGTGTGGGAGCCGAGGGAGTGGTGCTAGGGGGGTGACGTGGGAGTGGAGCTATGGGTGCAGCAAGGGGTGTGTGAAAGTGGGGTGGGACAGTTGGGGGAGGTTGAACGGAGGCTGCCGTCTTGTCGTCCGCAGCACCTGTAGTCCGGGGCTCTGCTTCTGGTAGCTCAGAGAGCCTGCTGCGCCTGTCGCCTGTGGGTCTGTTGCTCCTGCCGCTCAGAGTTAGCCGCAGAGCCATTCACTCCTGTAGTCCGGGGATACGGCTCCGGTAGCCACAGTGCGCGCCGCTCCTGTTGCCCGTGTGTCTGCAGCATCAGCCGTCGCCTCCTATCTCCTCTCCTCTCATAGTCCAGCCTCCTCCTCACTTGCCCTTTGTGTATGCCTCTAGCTTTGCTTGTACTTGTGAACCTGCTCTATGACTGCTTGCTCTGCTGATTATACCCCACTTTGACTATGGGGGTGTGTCAGAATATATTTGCTGTCTAGCCTGCAGTGGGGTACTCTGTAGTGAGTACAACCCAATTTAGGGTCTTGTATTTGTATCCCAACTCTTGCTAGTGAATCACCGCATTCCTCTCGACATTCTCCTTTCCAATTCTCTCGACACTAAACTCTCTCGATACTCCAACCTAGCCATGGTTCCTAAGTCACGCTAGTATTCTCACAAGATGTGCGAACATCTTCGATCAAGCATTCTCGGCCTCTTCCTGGCAATATGCAAGTCTTGTTTCCTACAAATGCGAAGCTGGTATGATAAACGGAAAAACACATATGTCCGATAGAGTAAAAAACGCTACTTCGGATCGGTTTCTCACATCGACGAGACTGGCTTTCCACGGATCCATCAGGAGCCGAAAGAGTCATGGCTGTGTCAGTAGATCTGCACCGTGGATGCCCGATTGATCCTACGAAGGGTTACAGGCGCGTTCGCCTGAGGGGTTATGGGCGCACAAAACCCGCTACACAAACACGCCCTTTTATCCCAGTGGTCTAGTGGTTGGGATTCTGACATGGTATCAGAGCGGTCTCGGGTTCGAATCCCGGTGTATGCACATGTTGGCCGTTGCCGTTGTGCTCAGTCCTGGGCCTCCCAGTGTGGGGGGGTGTCAGTAGATCTGCACCGTGGATGCCCGATTGATCCTACGAAGGGTTACAGGCGCGTTCGCCTGGGGGGTTATGGGCGCACAAAACCCGCTACACAAACAAGCCCTTTTATCCCAGTGGTCTAGTGACTGGGATTCTGACAGGCTGCTCAACGAGCCATTCCATTCGCCCTAAGCTCCATCCTTGTTTTAGGTAGATGCGACCATATAGTCGTCTCAGTATGCAGTCCTCAGACTGGAAAAAAATGCCGGTTAGCATTCATTGGCTAGCTTTGGTGTAGATATTCATGTTTGTGTTGGACTGTCTTAGAAAACTCAAAACCTCGCGCCGCCGTGCCACCATTACGGAGGGATGGGTGGGGGAGGACGGGTGGAGGGGAAGGGAAGGGGGGAGGAGAGGCTCATACATCATGGCCCTAAATTTCACACAATATTTATCGTTGCGAGAGTTGTGGTATGTTTGCATCGACTGCATCTGGTTCGTGCTGATTGCATCTGGTTTGTTTCTTATGGAATATAATAGAAGTAAGACATCGTTGAACAATTAACACCAAGAAGGTAGAGGCTATGGATGATATTGTCATGCGTCGATGTCACAAAACTCCTATTCCATAATCACCGCACATGGATCAAATTTCTTGTTGCGCCCCTTTCATTCCCTCTTAGCCGTATAAGGTGTTTGAATGTTTGCCATTGTAATATTGAAATATCTTGGTAACCTTTGGTCTTGGATAAAGTAGGGGTAGTTGCATAAGGGTGTGAAAATATCATGCACATGTTGTAAATATGTTTGAGTCGATACCCCCCCCCCCCCCGCTCCTCCCCCCTCTCCCCCCTCCCCCCCCCTCCCCCTCCCCCCTTTCCCTCACTCTCAAATTGGTGGTATTAAGTGGGGATCATCTGTACAGATGATCCTGCTTTAAGTCATAGCGAAAAACACATGTGGCACGAGCCTTTATGTAAAATCATATGTTGCATGGGTACACGGGACTAGTGTAAAACCCAACAGGGTGACACGCCATCCGCCAAATTTATTTACAAATGTTCACTGTTGTTAAGCATAGCCAAGCGGGGACAATGCATTTAATTTTCTGGGATTTTTGGGATCGTTCAATTCTTCAAGAATTTTTGTGTCCTCCAATTGGCTGCGGAACTGATCTGATTCGTGATGGAATAGTGGACCAAGCCCGTCACTATGAAGAAATTATAGCCCACAAGTGGACTATGCATGACATGTTATTCCTAGGCACAAGTGAAAAAACAAACTCCTTATAACGGGAACCCTTAGCAGGATCATCTGTACGAGCAAATTAATTCCTCACTGTTCATGTTTGTGTAGTATAGTACAATGTGTCCCTCACGCGGTTGTGACCGTACATGCTACTACGAACTGTAGCAGTGTGGTTGTTCCAATCCGACTTCGGCTATGGGGCAGTGTGATTGGCTCACCTTGCATCGACAAATGTGGCATGCGGCCCTGCCTATTTTGCAGCAGCTAGTGAAGGATGAGATGGTTGCTGTGTTGTGCCAAAGCACTATAGTGGCACGGTCATCGCACTCCCATTCAGCCCACAAGCTTGCTCAGCTTCTGGAATTTTGTGGGGAGGTGCTTCAACATTTGTTCTTCACACTCTAAAACTTTCAGAAATTTTGAAGCAGTTTACAAGGCATGGCATCTTGTTTTGTTTCAAGACTTATGGCATCCCAGAAGCGTGTGTTACTCTTTTTTTGTAACACCCGAGTTCACCATTTCGGCTGCTGACTCATCTGCAAAGCTTTGATTGGTCTGAAAATCGCTGTGGCAGACCTTTGCCGTGTTCTTCAGGTGGTCACCAAGTTTCAGGACAACCCAGCATTGGAGCAGCTGGTGACAGCTGTCGAAAGTTACTGTTCCGTAGTCATGGTGCACTGTTGGCAGCATTTCCCTTGCCACCCTTTCATTGTTGTCATGCCAATGGTGCAGGGACAGAGAATGAGACAAGAAGTACAGGTGGTCAAGTGGGACTCTACCACCCTCCTTTTGAGAAGTGTGGTCTTCTTGGAAGCAGCTTGCAAGAGAATGCAAGTGGGAAGACAAGCTGACTCATGGTTGGCTTGACTCACTATTGGTAGCCTTGAGTACAGCTCTAAACATCCAAGTGTGGTTGGCTTTGCTGACCTAGCTAGGACGTTTCCCATCCTTCTCTAGCCTTTTTCCTTTAGGACTCAACCTTCTTTGAGTTCCCAAGATGGTCCCAACCCCTTAAGAGTCCCCTAGGCAATGTTGTACTCACCTCTTCCTTCCTCACCTCTTCGTTCACTGAGTAGCGCATACACCTCTGATAAACTCAAGCAATATACCGTTGGAAAGCACACAATTGAAGCTAACTTCTGTCCAAGTTTCAGCCTCGTATAATATTGGAGCTGATCGTGATGGCGTTTTGAACAGAGGCGGTTCGAAGTCATCAGATTCTACTTAGGCGGTTTCATGGGCATCCGCGACCCCTAAGTGGACTCTAGACTATAACATGCTGGCATACGTGTGAAAGGGGAGCCTGCCAAGGTACTTGGCTGCCTAACATGCATGCAAGCCAAGTTCACCCGTTTCCCGTTCTCTAGTTCGGAGGCAACGGCTAAGGCACCGCTTGATGAGGTGGTGATGGACGTGGTGGGCCCCTTGAGGCTTGGAGCTGCTGGAGCAGAGTACTTCCTCACCATAGTCGACGTCTACACCCGCATGACTTGGGTGTATGTACTGTCTAAGAAGAGCGATGTGGCTGAAACGGTGAAGACCGATTGGTTGCCGATGGTGGAGCGGCAACAAGACCGGCTTGTGAAGGCAATCCGCACCGATCGGGGCGGAGAGTTCCTGAGCAAGGATTTTATCTTATGGCTGAAGAAACATGGCATAATACACTCTCTTACCATGCCATACTCCCCTGCAATGAACAGGATCGCCGAGCGAGCAAACCGGACAATCACGGAGACGGCAGGCGGGTTGCTCATTGAAGCCGAGCTACCCGGCAATTTCTGGCCTGATGCGGTGCGGAGTGCGTGTGTGGCCAAGAGCAGGCCATGAATCATATGGGAGCAGAAAAATGGGTGCCCTATGTGGAGTGGATTGGAAGGAAGCCAAAGGTGGATACGCTTCAGGTGTTCGGGTGCATGTGCATGGCGCTCGTGCCTAAGCATCTTTGGCACAACAAGCTCGGTGCCAAGGCGATATGGGCTGTGCACTTGAGCATGGCTCAAAGCAGCAAGGGATGACTTATTTGGGACCCATTCACCAAGAAGTTCTTGGTGAGCAGGGACTGAAATTTCATGGAAAACCTGATGTACAAGGATTGGAAGGCAGAAAATGAGGCGAAGATAGGCGTGCAGTTTGGGGATGTGAAGAGTTCCGGCTTGGAGCATGTGGAGCTGCCTTTGGAGCTGAGTAACGGCATAACCATCACAAGACAATCTCCTTTTGTGAATGGGGGAGAGGAGGCCATGAATGGAGAGGAAGAGGGGGAGGAGGTGCAGCAAGTAAGCGAGCGTGCACCGATGCTTCCACCTCCCACTACGAGTGCTCCACGGATTCGAGTCACCCCGCAGCAACGCCATGAGAGCCTTCATGTCCCTGCAGCTGAGGAGGAATGAAGTGGCCAGAGGAGAATAAAATCCCCTAATAGGCTGACCTTTGATGCGCCGGGAAAGCCAGCCAAGTCAGCCTTGGCCGGAGCAGCAATAACGGTTGGAGATGACGAGGAGAGTGACTACGAAAAGTGTGCCTTCGCGTTCTTCTCTCCGGTAGAGATGCCGGGAGAGCCAGCAACTCTCAAGGAGGCCTTGGAGAGTAGTGATGCTGAGGAAT